GCGTAAACTCGCAAATGCGAAACTAGCACTCTGTATTCGTGCTGAGATTTCGTCAGCGATGAACCTGTTGGGGCTGATGGTACTTCCTAAATAAGTGAAGCGATCAACGTGCTTTACCACTTCACTCCCTATTTCTAAACTAGGAGTCAGTGTAGTCCAGTCCAGTCCTATAGCATCATCTTAGATTTGGTGGGAGCGAATCACATGTCAAACATTCGTAGATTGCAGCTCAAGGTGTTCAGAAGACTCTGCATTTTTCAGCGTCCCCGCCTAGAAGGACTATATCATCTGCACATTCTAAGTCAACGAGATTATTCCCTGGTAACAAGCCATTCAATCCCTGAGTCTCTGAAGTCAGCAGTTAGGGGCAATTCCATGTATGATGAAATTGAATAGAAACGGAGATAGTGGGCATCCCTGTCGGACACCACTTCAGATGACAACTCGCCATAAGCTCTCACCTGGCTACATGAATTCGAGTAGATTGCCTTGATCAGTACAATGTATTTCTCGGCATTCCCTTCACAACCTAACTTCGCCAGAGTACCTCTCGGTCTACAGAATTGAATGCCGCCTTTAGATCACGAAATATAATGATGGTTGGACGCCGGTGGTGAGTATGCCTGTGTTCTAGAATCTGTCGAAGTGTGCAGATATGACCAATACACCCTCTTCCTGGTCTAAAGCCTGCATGGTTCTCTCGTGTTTGTGCCTCCCGAGCACCACTTAGTCTACGCATGATTATTGAGCCTAGGACTTTAGATACTATATTAGTCAAGCAAATACACCTGTGATTATCACAAGAAGACTTGTCTCCCTTCTTGTATATGGGGATGGATAATCAGTGACTTACACCAACCCGATGGTGCTTCCTCCGATCCCCAGACGCTGCCTAGTACCTCGGCTAATGCAGACAGTAAACTGTCTCCACCCTACTTAAATACTTCCGGAGTCATTCCATCAGGTCCTGCTGCTTCGCCTCGTTTCAGACTAGTGGCCGTCTTAGTAACCTCAGTTAGGGACGGAGGACCTGTGTCTATGTTTCATTCAAGGAGGCGTTGGATGTTCGGCAGGTTGAGCGTGGCTGTAGGCCAATTAAACTGCTCCTCATAGTGTTCTTTCCAGAGTTCCAGTCGCCTATCCAGAGATTATGGTGCTATTTTTCTCAGAGACTGTCTCACTTATCATTTATCTTTTACCACCTGTTTCCCTAATAAGCCTAAATAGTTGTCTTGTGTTGCCAATCGCCGATGTCTTTTCCATCTCTTTCACTTTTGTCGCCCACCACTGTTCACGGTCGTTGAGAAGACTTCTTGTTAGTTTGCGTTTGAGTAGGTTTCGCTCCTCGTCATAGTCGGAGCTTGCCGGAATCAGTCTTCTTGCATCAATCAGTTCGGATGAGGCGGTAGAAATCCGATGGCTCTTACTAACTTTAGGTTTTAGGTTATTAACAGCTTTTACAGCTGTGTCCACAGGTAACTGTATGTTGTGCCAGGCTACCTCAGGTGAAGTCCTGCTGTCGACCTCAGATACACGTTTCGCTATTTCTTCCTTAAATAGGGACTCAGACTCTCGATCTAGTTGGGGAAGTAACTGCTTCGCTTCCAACAATTTTTTATTTCCATTTAATCGTAAGCATAAACGTGCGCGGATCACAACGTGATCAGAGTCTACGCTCGTGTTCCAAAAAGGAGCGGCAGTTTTCTACTGACCCTCGCCAACGATCGCAAATCGCTATGTGGTCTATTTGACTCAAGCGTTGATTCTGTGATGGAGGTCGCCAGGTTACGCAGTGTCTCTCTTTGTGCCTAAAGCTAGTGCTGACTAGGAACAGATGATTATCTGAAAAGAACTTTAGAAGACGATCACCGTTGTAGGTTCGCTGGCAGGAAACTCCATACGTACCACCTACATACTTCTCAGTCTGGCACAACTTCCCTACTTCGGCATTGAAGTCGCCTGCTAAAACAACTATATCTGAACGTTTTGCTTTTGGCAGTTAACCACACAATTCCTAGTATACATCATCCTATAGTTCATCTGAACTGCAGTCTGTTGGGGCATAAGCGGAGACTACGAAAAGACAACGACGGGTAACGCCGTTCTTCCTTCTTCTAACGGACCCGTTCAGACGGACCGCACACATACAACTATCTACTGGGATCCAGTCAAGAAGTGATTTTTCTGCTCTAACACTCAAAGCTATCCCTACACCTGCGAGTCCTAGCGAACTAGGTGAGGAGTCTCCTGACACCCTTACAGTGAATTTTGCAGATTCACCTTTTTGGTCAGGTTGGGGTTAAGTGATTGACCACACTCGGGTCTTGTATGCGTGTCTCCGAAACACAACACACATCCATGGCTCCAGATACCAGAGTTCTTGCCGGTGATGCCTGTTGTCGGATTTGGCAGGGGGTATTGACGTTGAAAGCTCCTATATGAAGTTGGGGACGTGGCTTTACGAGGCTGTCGGGGCTGTTTCTATTGCTCTCATCGTTGTTTGTGGTCACAGAGTGAAGTGAAGATGACTCACCAGTCTGATGAATAGTACAAACTAGTGAATATTAAATGCAAGAGTAGTAGAGCAGCGCATGAATGTCAACTCGTTTTCCAATGGTTCTCTCCAACTGGTGTCACACTCGTGATCAAAGAATGAAGATGTTGAAAATAATAATAATAATACTAACACAAAATGATAATAAACTAGTATTCAACTTACTGTGAATGCATTCAGACTGGAGATAAGCGCAACCTGTAGGGCTTTTTGTAATTTACTATTGTGATTTTTCAATTGCCCAATGATTTATCTTTCGACTGGAGTTGTTCTTTCGGGTCACAGCAATAAACCAGTCCACAGGATGACAATAAATACAGAAGAAATTAAAATAATCATTAAAATAATCCTGATAGTAAAAATAATGATAATCAATGAAATAATCACAAACTATTATTAATAAGCATAACAATGACAATGACGAAAATGAAATGAACAATATCAAGATAAGGGAGGTGAAGAAGTTGACAAACATACAGAGGAGGACGAAGCTTGGGATGAAGGCGAAGAAAGCAAATAAAAGGAAGGTGAAAACTTATAATGATATCAAAATGGAGAATAATTTGAGTGGAAGTTACAATAATCACGGGGAGACTCATTAGTAACATATGAGTGGAGCAAAATATGAGGCAAACAACACTTACCTGCCGCCTTCTCCACCTTACCACCATAATCCTCTAAAATTTGTCTATCCTCCAGATTTAATACAACATACATCTGTTACCAGAATCATTTCCCTCTCAGGTCTCCATCTATTCGCTCCCTCTGAAACCCATCCGCCCACGACTGCATCAATTCTTCCAATCCTTATATCATCAACACTGCCATTACACTATGTACCAATCAATCCATGACTATCAGTCTAAGTCCGACTGTGAGTAGAAGTGTCATTTTAAGTTTGTTTCTGTGTGCGTGCACGGGGTGTCATACTTGAACTGATTAGAACCAACCGTGCTGTCAGTGTCCAGGGGCAGAAGACTGAGTGTGTTGGTCGGTGGTGAGTGGTTGTGCGAATGGTGTATGAGTGTTTGTGATGAATTCCGCTGACTGGGTGGGCAGATATAGTATGGCGGTGGAATGTGATGGATGGACGGGATAGATATGAGCTGTGTTGTGGTGGCTGAGATGTGATTTTGAATCGTTGTTGTGGGAATGGATGCAATGAGGTTGATGTCCGGCTCCGTAGCTCAGTCGGTTAGAGCGTCGTGCTAATAACGCGAATGTCGAGGGTTCGATCCCCTTTGGAGCCAGAGATTTTTACAAACATCACATACGAACCAGAGTAATCAAATCACTGATACACTTCCAACCTAATATCATAACCTTTTTGCATAGAACACACTACCCAACAACAAATTAATCACACATTGACACACAAATATTCACTAAAATTCTCCAGCACAAATTCCCTCAAATAAATACACCGAATCGCATATCTACACATGGACACAAGCACAAACTCATGAACAATGTGACGCGATAATTCTAATTTTCTATCCAGTTACACATCACCTCAACCACACACACACACACACACAGATACCTGCCTTTCATTTAACCAATTCCTCCATTAATTGAACAAATCGTATTCACCTCAATCTCAAACAAAATACTGATTTTCGAACAAGTCGATTTTGACTCACATCAAGACAATTTGCTGATTCTCTGTCTCTATCTCTTCGTTTGTGTATTTGTATCAGTGTATCTGACTGTCTGACAGAGTACCACCAACTGACAGTCTCATACTCGTCAAATTTCGAGCACAATCTATCGCCCATTATCGTATCACGGTACTACTAATATAACTTTCGAGTTCCACTTATTATATAGTGCCGTTGTTTCCTATACGATGATTTTGTAGTCAATAATATTTTCTATACCTCTGGCACATTAATTTTGGTGCCACTCCTATTGTATCAATGTTCGAGGGACAAAGGTTCAGTGATCAATTGCTCACCTCCTCCCCCAACTTAGCTTACAAAACCGTGACACTAGCCAACCTCATTACGTGATTAATGTGTTAGTGGGTCCATTACAACTGCTAAGTTGTTTTTCTAAGTCAGTCAACTTTTTGGGTTGATCATTTTACACTTCGCTGAACCGCAATATACCAATAACCTAACAGATTCTGACCTCCTGGATTGGCCTAACAATCATCACAAGACAATTTGTAGAGTAAATTTCTTTCTATTCAATCGGTTCACAATAGGATTTTTTGACCTGCAGAGTTTGTCCTGGAGTAGGTTTAGGTTTGTATGTTAGAATCCAACCCTATCACACTATCAATAGTTTCAAGCGTGAAAAATAGAACACAGTTCCATAAAATCAAGATATGAACTTTGACATCTGTATCGTGCAGTCTATCACCTTTCTTAAGAGTACTAACAGGCAGGAAAGTAATACGCACGCCTAGTCAACGGCCTTTACCTACGAAATATGACACCGATTCACAATAGGTATGGAATCGTATGGGTACTTGCGGGTCATTCGTCCGCATACAGTTCTCGGGAGGCACCTAGTGACATAAATGAAAATCGACCATAGAATGGCTCAAATATATTCACTATTTGCCATATTGCAAAATCCCGGAAAATCTTCACTAATCCACATCCAATATAATATAATAATAATATGATATATAATCGTAGTCAAATAAATGTTGGTGCATTGGAGCGCTTATTGTTCTTCTCAGGTTTGACCACGAGTTGGCATTAGTTACAGAACCACTGGAAAACTAATGAGTACTGGACAGCTGTTTCGTCCTAGTCAGGGACTACGCAACAGTGCGCAGTCGCCAGGGTTTGGCCCCGGCGGATATAAGGCGAGCTCAAGTAATACTAATGATGATAAAAATACTAATGGACACTTAACAAATAATAACCGTAATATATCACCTGATTTTATTAATAAACGTTCACATATCAATTGTAATGCTACTGATTCAGATGAACCTGAAAGTAAAGTTATAAAATCTGAAAGTGAATGGAATCCTCGTTTCAAAGGAGACAAAGAAAACACTAATGTAAGTAGTATATGTATGTGTTAACACACACAAGTTTCTCTTAGACTTGTATTTTACTTGATCGTTATTTAATACAGTTTGTTTAACCGCTTAAGCAGGATTTTAACTAAATTCACTTTCAGCTAGACGTGAAAAGACTGGCTAGTTGTCTTTAAGATCATAGTGTCTGGGTTCGATCTCTCGTGTGAAGTGGTATAATAGGGTGGGCAATATTGAGGTTAGGCTACGGCCGAGTGTTAGGTGAGTTGGAAGGGAAATCAAACGACGAGGTTGTCAAGCGACATCGAATGAGATAGTTGTGACATGTGTTGCGCATGCCTAGCCATCGCCTTCCTCCACGGGCATTGTTAACTGACATAGGATCGATGAGGTTGGAAAAGAGCTAGTAGTGGTTAAACCAAAAGAGGGCTTCATCAGTCAATGAAATCCGTGACAGTTAAAGCCAGCCAGCCAAGCACGCAGGGATGTGTAGACTGGCTGTCTGCCTGATTGGGGTGGTCGGGATGGTAAGAATCAATGAAGACTGGAGAAAATTGGTGATATGGCTGAAAATCGTTCTCGGTGATGGCTGGCGCAGATGCATTCACCCTTTGTGATTTGTCGTATCCAGTAAAACTATCGTTTCCCTTACTCACACTTGTGTTTATTGTCTCTGTTTTGAATCTCTCTCTACTCTTTTCTTTGGCTTTATGTGCTACACGGAGACAGTGTCGATCGCGAGGTGATTTGGCATGAAAGATAGGAAGGACTTCAGGTAAACATAGACAAAACAGAGGTGATGAAGATTCTTGGCCAACAGCCACAGCAGCAGCAACAGACAACAATCAGCCAGCATAAATGGTATAAATCTGAAAGAAGCAACCTCCTTCACCCACTTACTTGGGAAGCATCGTTTCAGCTACGGGCGGACAGAACTGGTAAGGAAATCAAGGCGAGGATCATCGGAAAAGCAAGGCAAATTTCCATTTCTCTCTAATCTGTGTGGAGGCCAACAACACTCAGCATGAAAAATAAGATCCGGATTTTCAACTCCAATGTGAAGTCAGTGCTACTTACTATACGGATCAGAGACTTGTACTGCGCGTCACGAAGGGCGCTTCGAACAAACTACAGACCTTCATCAACAACTATCTTCTCTCAATACTCAAGATTACATGGCCGACCAGAAAAGATCAGCAACAGGGATCTCTGGGAGCGAACCAACCCGGCAAGAATAGATTGTGCAACAAATATGCAAGAATAAGTGGAGGTGGATTGGATTGGCCATACTCTGAGAAAGGAAACCGTCAAGTGAGTGACATCACACGCCGGGCCATTGCTCGAGTGGAACCTGAATGGGAAGTGGCGAGTTGGTCGTCAGTGTGAGGGTGACATGGAGGAGGTCATGTGTAGGGGAGATGACAGCATGTAAGCAGACGTGGAGCCAGGCAAAGACGTTGTTAGAGAAGCGAACGCACTGGAGACGCACGGCTGAAGCCCTATGTTCCTCTAGGAACTAAAGGAAGCAATAATAATAAGTTTAAAATATGGCCGCCATTCTAGATGGCTCACCATCACGACGCACTGCACTGTGAATTGTTTATGTATTAGATGGTTGGAGGCTAAAGGCGGGAAGCCTTGTCTGACCTAGGTTTCGGGTTAGTTGTCACTCACCAGTCAGCAAGGCGTATCTGCACTTTTGAGGGGACTCAACTCCCCTCTGAGATTCGAACCGATGTTACCCAGTGTGCCGCAGTCAGAGACGTTACTAGCCACGATTCACCTCCTGTAGGACGATGTCGGATAATTTTGATTGGACACTAGTTAGTAACCAGTGTAATGTGTCCAGCCGTTTGCTTAGTCATGGATAGACTAATCCATCTATGAGTAGTTGGTTCTTTATTTTATAAGGAAAGCGCCTTTGGACTCGCTTTTCTTGATATAAATTAACCAACAGAGGAGATCTAGCCCAAATATGACATTATTATTATTCATTGTTGTTGTTTAGGTGAGAAGACGTCAAGAGCATGATCGTCGTCTACAGCGTGAAATGTCACGAATGGTATCAGCTCATGAACGTCAACAAGCTGTATTGAAGCGTCGTATTGAAGTCGCAGCAGCTGCTGAACGTCGACTCAAGGAATTGTTGTTACGCCAGAATGACGTGAAACAGGAACGTCTAACAACGAAGTGATTCTGTCCATTTTCCATCAGGCGATGTCCCTGCACTGCTGGTATACCAGTGGTATACCACTGAACTGTTGAGACGAGGCTGTTCTCCGTCTCGGCAGCAGCGGCTCTCACGGGCTGTTTTAGTACCCAGTAATTGCAAATGTACAAAATGTGGGTTAGGGAGAGATGCGACCTAGCAAAAAAGTTTCCTACGAAATATTACCCTCTCTAATACTAACTCGCTTCCAGCATATTCCACAACGATGTACAAAACCACCAGTTGACCTAGTATAGCTTTTTAGAGTCATTACACCACCACACGAACAACTTCTCTCCTTTCGAAGCAAGCCTAAGTCCAGGCAATACTGAAAGACACTATCCTCCTCGAATTGCAAACGTTACCTGGTAAAGGCACGCACTGAAATGAATCAAGCGCTACACAACATTGAACCACTTTCGTGAATCTAATTGGATAATTCGACGTCGTTCGCTGATTGGTAGTTAATGGTGTCTAAAGTTTAACTTGGCCGAGATATGGAATTTGATAAGAAATAAAAAGTACACACTTATCTGGAGGTGAGACGGTTGTCAGCTCGTAGAGTGTACTAGGTGAAAGTACAGCGAGAGAGCTAGACAGCAACCGTACAGGAGGAACAGGAGTACAAAGCGGAAGGAAGTGGGGTTAAAGGTCAGGTTGCGTTCATTCAAACAAAAGTTCAAAGGTGCAATGTACACCTCCGCAGCCAAGCAGTCAATCAGATTTTCAGCCTTAATTAGGGTGTCTGGAGACATTTTAGGATGTTTTCTTAACAGACAGGCTATTGGGTCTAAATCCGAAAGCTTGTTTTGAGTTACATCCAGTAAAGACTTAACCTGGCCAATATCAGAACGGCTCTCCGTGATATTTGAGATTGGCAGTGATATGCTATCAAACTGACCTAATTTTTCCTGAAGTTCACTTACTTGCCTCTGGATGTCTTTCACAAGGAGGTTTAATTTACAGAACTCAGAGTTCTCTAACAGAACATCTTTCACCTGTATCACAGGAGTGGGAATTGCACTCAAGCCATTTTGTGAGCTAGTAGTTAATGCTGTATTACGGGGTGGTAATGCAGTTATAACCGAGGTTGAGCAACTATCTAAAACAACTGTGTTTCTACGAACACGTTTTGTAGAGATCTGGACAATAATTTTAAGGATTATATGACTATAAGTAATAAATGAATATCAGAGCAAACACGTGCAAAAGATGTCGCCAGTTTCGAACGTACCGCCAGGATTCCATGGTAATGTGAGGCTGGTGTAAGACAGTGTCGACCAAGCCACGGGAAAATTCGCCAGCATTTCACATTTTAAGGTAAAACCTAAGGAACCGGTGAATGTAAAGAAGACATTTGTAGTGAAGGCCTAAGAGACAACGAGAAGGGGTGAGTGTATTGTTTGCCATAATACGCATCAATTGAGTGATTGCACCCGCTTCATTGCTATGTCTCCCGTAGAAAGGTTAAAAATGGCAAAACAGAAGAGGTTATGTTTCGGTTGTTTAAAGACAGGGCACACAAAGTTGAATTGTTAGGCGACAGACAAGGAAAGTGGTGGTTCAACCGATGTGCACCCACTTCTGAGGACAGTAAAGGAACCGGGGAATTCGGTTAATTGTAATAGCACCTTTGGCCCCCTTGATAACCCACAAGTTTACTTAGGGGTATTACCAGTCAAAATTAGAGGACCGAAATCTTCGGTGGATACTTACGCACTGTTAGATAATGGATCAGATGTCACGCTGTTGGATGCTCAGTTAGCCGGCCAGTTAGGCATTAAGGGTGTTAAAGAACCCTTAGTAATGAATACCTTTAATTCATCGGACAGGTTAACGTGCGGACGAGTCTCCATTTTTTGGTTAGACTCCTTGGTAACGGGAAAATCCATTAAGGTCTCAACCGCGTATATCACCCCCAGCCTGAAACTTGGAGAAGCCAAAGTGCCAAATCGTGAAGTGGTTATTAATAAACCACATCTGTCTGATATAACGTTCCCAGTTTTGCAAGATAACAAAGTGAAATTACTTATTGGATGTAATGTACCTTCTGCTCATACAGTACTAGGGGAAAGGTATGGACACTGGAAAAGTTTATTTTACAGTTGATAGTAGATACATATGTAGACGAAAAACAGAGACAAAAACATACAGGCTTTGAGTGTAGGTATGTATATATGTATATGTACGTACGTCGAGGAGGAACCTCATCAATACACGCCTGTTCATCGACAATAAACGAAAGTAAGGCAGCATTATAACGATGGTGTTCGTTAATACAGAAACAATAAAGAATAAATAGATCACGTCGGTCTCACGAGTTTAGAGGCTGCAGGTATCGACGTTCGCGAGTTGTACGGACTATACTAACGCAAGATCTTATACCAACAACCACTATAGTGTTCGCTCTTCGAGTACCAGAGATAAAGCAAAAGACGGAAATACGCAATATATTTCGGGACCAAATGGCGGGTGGAGGTGAATACTTAGCTAGCTAGGAATCGTGCACGCACGTGACACGACGGAGTACCAAATGGCGGGGAGGCTTGACCGGAAGCCTTCAGCTAAACAAGTCGACTTAAACAGTGATGGTCAGCATCCAATGTTGAGTGATGATTGCTGTGGTTAATGATTTTGGGGAATTATTTACCGCTACAGCTCACTCCCCCCTAGTGGGTTTGTGAGGACCCTAAGACATGACCAGCCGGAAGTAAAAAAATCTCGATGGTTCCCTGATGGGTGAAAAAAATCTTCCGAGCGGCTTGATGGAGAGCCTGCTGGTCTGTCTGCCTATGCTAATAGGGTGTCTGTACATAGCTTCCTCAATGTTGCTCGTTGGATCCCGTGCTTCGTTTGTTTCCTGTCCAGTGCCCGTTGCACCTGGAAAAGAAAACAAGAATGCTGAGAACCTTGTCAAGAAAAAT